CCAGTGTCAACACCACCAGTGTCAACACCACCACCACCAGTGTCAACACCACCACCACCACCAGTGTCAACACCACCAGTGTCAACACCACCACCACCAGTGTCAACACCACCAGTGTCAACACCACCAGTGTCAACACCACCACCACCAGTGTCAACACCACCACCACCAGTGTCAACACCACCAGTGTCAACACCACCAGTGTCAACACCACAACCAACAGTGTCCACACCAACAGTGTCTACACCACCATAGTGTCAACACCACCACCAACAGTGTCAACACCACCACCACCAGTGTCAACACCACCACCACCATAGTTTCAACACCACCACCACCAGTGTCAACACCACCACCACCATAGTTTCAACACCACCACCACCATAGTGTCAACACCACCACCACCATAGTGTCAACACCACCACCACCATAGTGTCAACACCACCACCATAGTGTCAACACCACCACCACCATAGTTTCAACACCACCACCACCATAGTGTCAACACCACCACCACCATAGTGTCAACACCACCACCACCATAGTGTCAACACCACCACCACCATAGTGTCAACACCACCACCACCATAGTGTCACCACCACCACCATAGTGTCACCACCACCACCATAGTTTCAACACCACCACCACCAGTGTCAACACCACCACCACCACCATAGTTTCAACACCACCACCACCATAGTGTCAACACCACCACCACCATAGTGTCAACACCACCACCACCATAGTGTCAACACCACCACCACCATAGTGTCAACACCACCACCACCATAGTGTCAACACCACCACCATAGTGTCAACACCACCACCACCATAGTGTCAACACCACCACCACCATAGTTTCAACACCACCACCACCATAGTGTCAACACCACCACCACCATAGTTTCAACACCACCACCACCATAGTGTCACCACCACCACCATAGTGTCACCACCACCACCATAGTGTCAACACCACCACCACCATAGTGTCAACACCACCACCACCATATTGTCAACACCACCACCACCATAGTTTCAACACCACCACCACCATAGTGTCAACACCACCACCACCATAGTGTCAACACCACCATAGTGTCAACACCACCACCATAGTGTCAACACCACCACCACCATAGTGTCAACACCACCACCACCATAGTGTCAACACCACCACCACCATAGTGTCAACACCACCACCACCATAGTGTCAACACCACCATCACCATAGTGTCAACACCACCACCACCATAGTGTCAACACCACCGCCACCATAGCGTCAACACCACCGCCACCATAGCGTCAACACCACCGTCACCATAGCGTCAACACCACCCCCACCATAGCGTCAACACCACCACCACCATAGTGTCAACACCACCACCACCATAGTGTCAACACCACCACCATAGTGTCAACACCACAACTGCCATAGTGTCAACACCACCACCACCAGTGTCAACACCACCACCACCATAGTGTCAACACCACCACCACCACCATCATAGTGTCAACACCACCACCACCACCATAGTGTCCACACCACCACCACCACCATAGTGTCAACACCACCACCACCACCACCATAGTGTCAACACCACCACCACCATAGTGTCAACACCACCACCACCATAGTGTCAACACCACCCCCACCATAGCGTCAACACCACCACCACCATAGTGTCAACACCACCACCACCATAGTGTTAACACCACCACCATAGTGTCAACACCACAACTGCCATAGTGTCAACACCACCACCACCAGTGTCAACACCACCACCACCATAGTTTCAACACCACCACCATAGTGTCAACACCACCACCACCACCACCATAGTGTCAACACCACCACCACCAGTGTGAACACCACCACCACCAGTGTGAATACCACCACCACCATAGTGTCAACACCACCACCACCATAGTGTCAACACCACCACCACCATCATAGTGTCACCACCACCACCAGTGTCATCAACAGCACCACCACCATAGTGTCAACACCACCACCACCATAGTGTCACCACCACCACCACCATAGTGTCACCACCACCACCAGTGTCATCAACAGCACCACCACCATAGTGTCAACACCACAACTGTCAGTGTCAGCACCACCACCACCATAGTGTCAACACCACAACTGCCATAGTGTCAACACCACCACCACCATAGCTTCAACAGCACCACCACCACCATAGTGTCAACACAACCACCACCATAGTGTCAACACCACCACCACCATAGTGTCAACACCACCACCATAGTGTCAACACCACAACTGCCAGTGTCAACACCACCACCACCATATTGTCAACACCACCACCATAGTGTCCATGCCACCACCACCATAGTGTCCACACCACCACCACCATAGTGTCCACACCACCACCACCACCATAGTGTCCACACCACCACCACCACCATAGTGTCCACACCACCACCACCACCATAGTGTCCACACCACCACCATAGTGTCAACACCACCACCACCACCATCATAGTGTCAACACCACCACCACCACCATAGTGTCCACACCACCACCACCACCATAGTGTCAACACCACCACCACCACCACCATAGTGTCAACACCACCACCACCACCCTAGTGTCAACACCACCACCACCACCATCATAGTGTCCACACCACCACCACCATAGTATCAACACCACCATAGTGTCAACACCACCACCGAACAAGTCATCAATGATCCTTATCAAGAGTTCTTCCTAGATGAGGGACTGATTACCTCATTATCCTGCTGATCATCACTATTCTTCTTTGTATTGGACTGATGGAGCCACTGTGTGGCGATACGTTTCCACAATATGAGGAAATATATCTAATTTATTAACATAAGAATGGAGGAGCACTCAGCAGGCCTACTGGCCTAATGGCACACACCTTTCTTTTAGCATTCAGCGAGAGGATTTCCGTCTAATGCTCTGATTACTGCTGTTCTTCCAGACAGTGCCCGGGAGCTGGAGCTCTGATGGGAGTTAAGACACATGTGCAACATCTGGATATCTTTATTGTAGTAGACGTTTCGCCATCCAGTGGCTTTATCAATACAGATTCTAGGACATAATAGGAAGACAGTAGAACTATATACAAAAGATGAGGTAATCAGTCCCTCGGCCTTGGAGTTAGTGTTCACAGCATCGTGAACACTATTGTCGGTATTTTATACCTTTCTTGCACAGCTCTGATGGGCATGGCACTGCCCTCCAGGGTGAGCTGGGAGTACCACACCTTCAAGACCTGGTAATACGACCTTCTTACATGTACTCCTTCAAGGATCGGCTCTGAAAGCCTACTTCGAAGATCTGCTTCGAAGATCTGCTTCGAAGAACTATTTCGAAGATCTACTTCGAAGATCCAACTTGAAAATGACCCAATTTGGGCCACTCTGGGAGAACCTAAATGGACGGATCTGGTCAGTCCTGTCCACAACCATTAAGACTTTTGGCAGAGATCTCCTGTGAGGGGCTCCTGATCCAAGGAATTGGACTTGTGGTCCAACTCTTTGAAACTAGTCAGAATGCTTTCTATTTTCCCTAAGCGCTGTGTGACCCCCACGGATTTAACGCTCCCCCATGAATGTAATATAATTATTATTATAATCAAAAAGAAGCGCTAAGCCAGAATGTAATATAAACCACGGAACGGGTGAGGTTTGAACCCGTATATAAATACACCTAGATAGATCAATCTTATTGTAGCCAGTTGGCCTGGAGTTCTAGAACCCCTGTCATGGACATTAAAATGGTATAAAATACCGACAGGTTGTTAGGTAAGACACATATGCAACAGTTAGGTATCTTTATTTTGAAACGTTTCGCCTACACAGTAGGCTTCTTCAGTCAAGTACAGAAGGGTGATGGACTGATTACATCGTCTTCAAGTATCTTCTACTTCTATCAACTTTTCTGTACTCGACTGAAGAAGCCTACTGTGTAGGCGAAACGTTTCAAAATAAAGATACCTAACTGTTGCATATGTGTCTTACCTAACAAGTACAGAAAAGTTGATAGAAGCAGAAGATACTTGAAGACGATGTAATCAGTCCATCACCCTTAAAGTTTTGAGGTGGTCAGTCCCTCATACTATGGAACAATGCTCTTCTCCAGACTGAGGGACTGACCACCTCAAAACTTTAAGGGTGATGGACTGATTACATCGTCTTCAAGTATCTTCTGCTTCTATCAACTTTTCTGTACTTGACTGAAGAAGCCTACTGTGTAGGCGAAACGTTTCATAATAAAGATACCTAACTGTTGCATATGTGTCTTACCTAACAACCACTGTCATGGATTCATCATTATTATAATCGAAACTAAGCGCTAAACCCACAAGGATCACAGCTCGCCATGGCCTCAAACCCCTTTTCACGGTTTGTTTACAAAAGTGTTATAACGATTTCACGAGTCACGAGAGAACATAACATAAGAATGGAGGAACACTGCAGAAGGCCTACTGGCCCATGCGAGGCAGGTCCTTATCAAAACGACTACTACCTAAAACTTCCCTAGAAATAACTCCCGTACCCAATGACACCAATCAAACCCAGCCCCTCCCACTCATATATTTGTCCAGTCTCTTCTTAAAGCTACTCAAGGTCCTAGCCTCTATCACCCCACTGGGAAGACTGTTCCACGCATCTACAACCATTCATCACATCTACAACTCTGTTAGAAAACCAGTACTTACCTATGTCCTTTCTAAATCTAAATTTATCCAACTTAAATCCATTATTCCTGGTTCTTACCTGGTTCGACACCCTCAGTACTTTATTAATATCTCCCTTGTTTATGCCCGTCATCCACTTATACACTTCAGTGATATCTCCCCTCATTCTACGCCTCTCCAGAGAGTGGAGATTTAAGGCTTTGAGTCTATCTTCATACGGGAGGTTCCTTACACAGTAAATCATTTTAGTCATTCTTCTCTGTATGTTCTCTAATGAGTCTATATCCAGAGAAGTACCAACCTGGAGAAGGTATGTCCCTGGAGGGCTCAGAGGAGGTGCGCTCCCCGATCTTCCGACGAAGAGCCTCCAGATCGAAGGGGTTGTGGATGCTGTGGTCGACGCTGCGACTCTTGTTCCTGTGGGAGATGAGAGACAGGACCTTAATATAACGAACCCAAGAGGCTATATCGTCTACATGTGGAATTATTATTGGGGAGAGTTAAACCCATAGGGATTATACATGGCATGTGGGAGGAGAGGGATGGAAGGTATTCAGACTTAATTCAGGAAACTGGAGCACAGATCCAGTTCCCTAGATCAAGAGCCCCTCACCAGCATCAAGGAACCTCCCTTGAGGGATACAGGTTGACAAATTAAGGCACTTTTGCAACATCTAGGAACCTTGACTGAGGAAAACATTGCCTGGCGAAACGTTGCCACAAACTTGAGAAATGTTGCAATAGTGTCCAATTCCTCAACTTGCTTATTAAACCATTCACATATCTACAAGACTGACGACAGCCTAAAGAGTGTGGTTTGAAGACTATCTACTAGGTGTAGTTTGAGGAGAGTAGTGGAAGAAGAAGAAGAAGAAGAAGAAGAAGAAGAAGAAGAAGAAGAAGAAGAAGAAATAGAGATGCAAATAATATAACATTTATTCTGGCAACGTTTCGCTCGGAATAAAACGTTGCCTCAGTAAAATTAAGATTAACTGCGTCTTCTGACCTGAAAAATAAACATCGAGTAATGTTTCGCTCCCTCCTGAACCATTATTAGGTCACTGAACACGTGACTCCAGGCTGAGGGACTGACTACCTCAAACTACTACTCACCTTCCACTGTTCCTCCGTGTTGGACTGAAGAAGCCACTGGCTGGCCAAACGTTTCCAGAGTAAAGAACAGCTGTAACCTTGCTGTTTCGCTCTCTCTAACTGGTGTCCGGAAAAAGTCACATTTTTATGTTAGGTTAGGCTGTGACCTCTCCTGTGACTCCTATGACCCCCCTCTCCTGTAACTCCTATGACCCCCTCTCCTGTAAATCCTATGACCCCTCTCCTGTAACTCCTATGACCCCTCTCCTGTAACTCCTATGACCCCTCTCCTGTAACTCCTATGACCCCTCTCCTGTAACTCCTATGACCCCCTCTCCTGTAACTCCTATGACCCCCTCTCCTGTGACCCCTCTCCTGTGACCCCCTCTCCTGTGACCCCCTCTCCTGTGACCCCCTCTCCTGTGACCCCCTCTCCTGTGACCCCCTCTCCTGTGATCCCCTCTCCTGTGACCCTCGGGGTCACAGGAGAGAGAGACAACACGTCAACAGTTGAATCCAGTTATGTTGTTGATTACTAGCAAGTCACTGCAACGGCAAGACAGGTGCAGCCTACTGTGTAGACGATACGGTTCGGAATAAAAATACCTAATTTTTAGACTTGTGTCTTAGCTACGTCTAGAGCTGCCCAGTAACTCTAAATTTAGTACAAACTGTAACCCGTATTGATCCTTTAAGATCATTCGCAAGTAAATGGCTTAATGGTACCGACATGTGGAAATAGACATTTGTGTACAGCACAGGGCATTTATTTAAGGAAACGTTTCGCCACAAGTGGTTTCTTCAGTCGTAATACAAAGATAACTAAACTCAACCTTTCGGTCGAACTAGTCACTTGTTAATGGTCCAAATAGGACCGAAACGTCGTCTTAAGTTCATTCTGTGCGGGTTATTTGTGTGTTGTTCCAGTCACGGTAGTGTGACTGTTTTATTTCAGGGGTAACTAAGGAGTACATACAGTGGCAGGAGTCAGGCGGCTGTAATTTAGTGGAATCACGACAGTATTCTTGGTGGAAAAAAATCCAGTGTTGGTATTTTATACCATTAATCTCCACTGTGCTAGTTACGAGGACACGTGGCTCTGGTGGCCTGGTGGTTAACGCTCTCACTTCACACGGTGAGGGCCTGGGTTCGATTCCCAGCCAGAGTAGAAACATTGGACGTGTTTCTTTCCACCTGTTGTCTATGTTCCCCATCAGTAAAATGGGTACCTGGGTGTTAGTCGACTGGTGTGGGTCGCATCCTGGGACACTGACCTAAGGAGGCCTGGTCACAGACCGGGCCGCGGGGGCGTTGACCCCCGGAACTCTCTCTAGGTAAACTCTAGGTATCTAGGTAAACGTGTGACAAATGTCACATTAGCTGCCCGTGGTGTTACTTAACATATTATTATTATTATAATCAAGGGGGAAGCGCTAAACCCGGAGGATTATACAGCGCCTGGGGGGGGGGGGATGTGGAAGGCATTCAGGCTTAATTCGGGGAACTGGAGCACAGATCCAATTCCCTAAATCAAGAGCCCCTCACCAACATCAAGGAACCTTCCTTGAGGGGTTACTTAACATAGAAATAAAGTGGACAGCTGTAATCTAGATACCAAAATGCTACACAAATGTTTTCTAACGTGTAAGTATCTTATACCATAAACAGTAAATAGGAATGATTTAAATAAAAAGTATATATCTTACCAAATGCTATGTCTGCTAGCCTCTCCTACAGTGCTGCTGCCATGACCATCTCCAGGACGGTACATACACACACACGAACCCCAACGGAAATAAGTCTGACTTTTTTGGGGTTATCCCAGGTTCTCTACACATATGCTGCTATGTATGATAATCTATGTAACTGTATTTGTGTATACCTGAATATACTGACTCAGGACTGTTGAAACTACAGGACGAGGATGTTCAGGAGACAGGAATACTCTAGGGCCTCTATGAGGATTTTAAGACGCAGAAAAGCCGTAGACAACAGCAAGACATGTAAACACAACTGGGTTAGGAGAGGAAGCAACTACACGATGGAGTAGCAAGAAAGTGAATACGTCACTGTTAGACCAACAAGCTTCTCGTTTCAGCATTAATGACCAACCAATCACAACCTTGTGTGGTCGGGGAGGCAACCAATTAGAAGCTAGGAAGACCTAACCTGGGCAAGCTGGGAACACATCACTGGCAAACAACCCCATTTAATATACAAATTAATATAAACATGAATATACATACATGGAAAGGTATTTTTAATTAACTTCCCACTGAGGTAAAATACTGACCTAGTAACTACTAGGTAATCCTGGCTTAGGGAAAATTCTTAGATTAAATTTAATAACGTTACAAATGCACATGTTAAATGATGAATCGAATACTTAGATTGATGAGAAGGTTCACGGCACACTGATGATGAACCAAGCGTACTAACCTGCCTGAAAGTAACTCACGATTCATCACCTGTAGGAAACTACGTAAAGCAGGCTATGAGTCACCTTCATGGTTCATCATGGTATATTAACCAGCACTTAAGATGGAACCTTACAGCTACGTTTCGGTTATTCCATTTGTAGGCCAGTAGGCCTACTGCAGTTATTCTCTGTGTTCATGATAACAGGTACAGTATCACTAGTGCTGCCACGACTGCAAAATTTTCACTACTACTACTACTACTACTACTACTACTACTACTACTACTGCTACTACTACTACTACTACTACTACTACTACTACTACTACTACTACTTCTACTACACTGTCCTATTACTTCTGCTACCTCATTATTGTTACCACTACCGCAACTTCTACAACTAATTCTACTAGTACAACTACAACTACCCCTATTACTACCCCTACTACTACTACTAACGCTACTACTACTACCACTACTATTACCACATCCTTCTTCTACCCTCCACCAATTGCCCTCGGGTCTTCTCTACTTTCCTCGCCTCAGTTGTAACTTGACAATGGTCCAAGATTGACCGAAACTTCATTAGAATCTCCTCCTAAATGCGAGGTTTCTGGCGAATTATCTCAGCCACAATATTGTGACTATATTCTTTATTCAAACACATATTACACCTTACAAATAAAGCACCCACGTAACGGGCGGGGCTTGAACCCGAGGCAAGTGAGTTTTTACAGTGATGTTGGGATTTCATGAGTCATCTTACTACACTTCTTACTGAAGAAGTTGCTCGGGGCGAAACGTATCCTCTAATAAATGTCGTGAACTGTACGTGTCTTCTATCGTCTGGTCTTGTCTTCTAGTCTCTAATCTTGTCTTCTATTATCTGTATCAGCAGTCAACTTACATCAGCAGCATCCTCCTGCTACTACGACACTATGTACATGTACAAGGTATACAAGTACATGTACAAGGTATACAAGTACATGTACAAGGTATACAAGTACATGTACAAGGTATACAAGTACATGTACAAGGTATACAAGTACGTGTACAAGGTATACAGACCATAGCTGACATCAGTGACATACTACTATATAGAAAGCCGATTTTATGCTGAGCATTTCCCGCAAATTAGGTCAGTTTTGTCCCAGGATGCGACTCACACCAGTCCACTAACACCCAGGTACCTGTTTTACTGATGGGGTGGACAGGGACAGCAGGTGTCTTATGTAAACCCGTCCTAGTGTTTTCAGCCGTACCGGGGATCGATCCCTGTACCTCAGTGCGTTACAGTCGAGCAACATATGCTCTCAACTCCCTTTCATCAATTTTGGGGACTCTTAGCAATAATAAAACCCTGGATAAAATTTAAAAAAATGCATCTGGACCAAAGATGAGTGTGTGTGTCAGTAATCCCATACAAGTGCGTCGTAAATCCCAAATTGACTCACGAAATCGTAATGACACGATTGCAAACAAACCATACCACGGGCGGGATTGAACCCGCGGTCAGAGAGTCGCGTTAATCCCAAATTGTTTGAAAATCATCAGAGGGCATTGTGCCACTTACATTAACTCTCATTCCAGGGGTAATTAATTCTGTTGAGCCATTGCTTCGCTCTTTCCTAGGTAATTAATCAGGCTTTACGATACCCAGAACCGAGGCTTCCAGAGGTAATCCCTATGTATAAAATTAATTCTCATTCCTTTGTGTGGATACTAATGAATATTCTTTTATGTCCAGTTTGGGGTAACATTCGAACTTAAATGATGTTTCTTCCCGTATATCGATATTTCATCAGTATCTTCAACTGACTAGTATCCTGAATCGTATCGCAGGAGGCGTTTCAGAGAGTTTATCAAACACTGAAGTCCATTATGCAAAACTTTTGAACATGCGGGCC